TAAATTCTCAATTAGAAGATAAAATAGATAGCAATATTACACTAGCCACAATACTTACAGTGCAACTATCCACCAAAAAGAAACCTGAATTGTCTCAAATTACTGCTGCAGCGTTAAAGTGCATGAACTGCCAAAGTAGTCAGTAAGTTAATAGATTTGTTTATGGACTAGACAAAGCTTAATTAAATGAGGCAGCTCTGAAGAACAGTAAATCCTCTCTTCTCCTATCTTTCCCTCCCCCTCCCCCCTTTTTTCTTCCCAGAGTATCTTTCTCCTAGTGGCATTCCTCTTCCTAATAATCCCATCACAAATGACAGATATGTTATCAGTCATCACTGGGATTTGACACATTCTTAATACCTGTCACGACAGCTCTGAAGTCTGCATGCTACCCCATTGTATTCCACAGCAATTGCAGGAGGTAATGGACACATCAAATCGCAGTCAACGGCTCTGCTTCATTGGACTGCTGAAGGTTTGCCGTATAGAAGCAAATACTTAAAGAAAGCTAATCTATGATTATTCAAAATTACACACTGAATAAGTAAATATAAACCATTAACCAGAACAAATAGCTTTTGCACATTCTATGCCTATATTCATCCCAAGATAGATTGGCCATATTGTCAAATGCGTTATCATATTTATTGATAAGAATGGTTCTTTTTTTTTTTTTTAATCTGTAATAGTAACAGTAAAAAAGAGATCAATGAATGAAAGTCTTTATTGAAAGGATTGAAGTGTTACACTGGTAACATGGGAGTGTACTGCTGCATCATCTGCTTTTCCTTATTTTAGTAGAGAATCTGATGCAAAGGTAAGGTGCAAGTCAAGGCTAGAACCAGAGTTAATGTCAGAGAAAAACACCTGAACTTACACAGAAAGTGAGACTATGAAGTGTCGTTCAAAGCAGTGTCAACGCTATAAAGGTGAGATGTGAGCACTGAGGAATACAAGTTTCAAAACTGAGCAGAGCCAGGGAGAGTGAGGAAGGGGACTTAGCATGGGAGAGCTCCATGACTGGGACAAAAAACAGAGACAGAATCTTACCACTGAGCGATAAGGACAAGAACCACCAACAGGTAGGTGTATGAGGCTATTTCTAATGTCAGCTGATTTCTATGGACTTCTAGTTTGTTCAAGCCTCCAAAAGAACTGTGATAAATATGGAACTCCACAGAACCAGTTCAATACCAAAATCTCTAAACAGATATATTTTCTTTAAAACAAACTCAAAATTTTCCTTCAGATGACCCTGCTCATCTGTGTACAATACCTTTCAGGCACAAAAGTGAAATAACTTCTTACTGTAACATCTCTTCAAAGATGAACTTAAAGACTTTCTCATTTTAGCTGAGCTGCTGTGAAGCACCATGCAGCCAGTCCCTGCCAACAGCATATAAACTGCAAAGCAGCGGTGGGCCTTGCCATTAGCAAATGCAATCACTTCTTGTTCTCAATGCATTTACAGTTTTGCACAAAATTTAAAAACAAAACAAAACAAAACACCAACAAACCACAACAAAAACAAAAACCCCACACAGATTAAAGACAATGCAGCCCTGTGCACACAAGTAACTTAAGGCCCTTTCAGCAAGGCAATAAAGCAAGGGCAGGACAGCGAATAGCATGCTGGAGTCAAAAAGAAATGTCTTAGTGACATCAGTGAGCTTTGGAGAAGGTCTGGAGGCAGGAAGACAGGCAGCACACACTCAGCCAGCTTAAAGAACTGCACATCCTTTGGTCAAAATTACCAAGCAATATTAAGGGGTCTCAAAAGGTTGTTTGCATTTAGAAGAAATTTATGAGCAGTCTGTTGTTTGTTGGTGACAGTGGTTGATTTTTTGCTTGTTTGTTTAAAACCAGTGGAATTACCCAAGAGCAGATCTTGCACCTGTAAGCACTCAGGTGCAAAGCAATGGCATCTGGAGCAGCAGGGACTCCAACCCACGATGCGTCTTGACACTATGCTAAATCCTATCCTGAAGTAACAGCATTGATTGAGTATCATCTCACCCAGGCAGTACGAAGTGCTCTCAGAGAAGGCAAAGTTTGTAGCAGTGGGCTTCATACCATATCAGATATTGCCAGTTCTTCAGCAACCAATGTAAAAACACACCATGAGCACACTTGGCATCCCATCTTCTGATGTCAACCTTGTGCCAGAGTCTGCTCCGGATCCCATGTATGCTGTTGGTCTGCACACAGCCGAGGCAGCCCCACCGCGAGGCCTTCCCAACAAGTGCAGCGATCTGGCCGCACTCCAAGGAGCATTACAGCTTCCCCTGCTGCCTGTGCTCCCGGTTATTCCTTTCATATACACCCTCAGCTGTAAGCAAATCAACATGCCAATCGCTTGGGACACATGGCTTAGCTTATACTTAAGACTTGCCATTCGGGTTTGTGCTTTGGACGTTGATTTCTATTGTCTCAGCTATCACTCAACAAAAGGGCATTTAATTGCAGTCTCATTTAGTCTGGGGGGAGGAGGGGAACAACTTTTACCAGCCCTCTGATTGATGGCAGTCATTAGCACCTTCCAGCACAATGCCACTTATTAGAAGCCCCATTTCTATGGGAAGTTCATTGCCATACAAGTGAGCTGGGGCTGCGGCTGCACTCTTTAACAACTCCAGAGACGTGAAATGAGTCTGCAAAAATGCATATGCCAGCCACCCATTTAAAAGGGGAAACTTTGAAGATTAATGAAGTTTGAAGAAAGCTTCTTGAAAGGAAAAAAAAAAATAAGAAAAGAAAAAAGAGAAAAATTAGGAGAAAACTCACTGTTTCTGTTTCCTTTCTCGAGCACCATTATGTAGTTACTTAAATGGTTGTAAGACAGCACCCGACCCAATCGACACTTAGGTACACACAGCTAATGCCAGGAAGCACTCAATCCCCACACATCAAAGTTTATAATTGCATACCATGAAAGGCAGTGCTGAAGAATTCCATAAACTATTTTGCCTCTTATATGAGCATTTTCTATTTCCTTTGTGATGGAGGAATGAAGGAATTTAATATCCACATTCAATATCCTACATGTTCTGTAGAGCAATGAGCCACACACGCAGCGTTCTAGCCAAACTGCTGACCGTGGACTTTTAGTACTCAGTTCATTTTATTAAAAAGCACAGGGATGCTAATCTTCCTTTCAAAGGAACAGACCTCAAGAAACAACCAGATCAGTGAAGGCTTCTTGAAAAGGAAATACCATCTTTTATCATCAGTCCAGTTATGAGGAACTTGCAGTAATTTCAGTAAAAGTCTAATATCGGCTTTGAAAATTATAATGATGCGAGTTATCAAAACGTTTAATCATCGCAGAATCTAAGACCAAGCCCATTTTGAACATCAAACCTCCCAGCCAGGCGTACAAACACGCCATGTATTATCAGACAAGCCTTTGTGCAGTTTTGGAAGCCTTTTCCATTGGGGAGGCAGCTCGCTAAGGCTGACTGCAGGGAGCTGACGCGTGGCCAAACACACGGCTCAGTCGTGGGAGCGCTCACCCCATCCTGGCACAGAGGCCTTTGCACCCACAGAAAAGTGCTCCTGGCTATTCTCAGAGCACACCCTGTGTTATCCACATAATTGATTTAAAATTTCATTGCAAAATTACAGAAACTGCTCTGCTATTATTCCTTTTTAGCAGATCCACCCGTCCTCCGCAGGACATTCCTCAGTGATACTCGTCTTCCTTCATGCATATTTCTAAGCGAGCTTAAATAGCTATTTTCATGCTTTCCCCTACATTTTGAGAAATCACGGTTTTAGGTAGATAAATGAATGTGCGTAGGAGGGAATATTTTTTTTGTTTTAAAACAGCTGTCTTCATTGTTATTCATTTTGCAGCTCACATGCATGTAAAGCTGTATTTTGATCCCTCCCTTTCCCAATAGTTTCCAAGCAAAAGTAAAAACTTCGTACAAAGAAGAAGCATGTAAAAAAACAAAAACCAAAGAATAAAAACTACTCCCAAACTGGCATGCAGCCAGTTGCCAGCTAAATGATATTATACACTCGGTTTTCTTAACAAGGCTCTTTGCAAATTTTATTTTCCTCTCCCATTGTTTTGTTTCGCTTCAGTGTCAGACAGGAGACACGTGTTTCTCTTTCTGTAAAGGCTAAGTGCTACCTTCCCAAAAGTATAGTCCGTGGATAATTATTACCAGTAGTGGAAGGCTGACGTTTCAGCTGCAGAGACAATTCCAGAGAAATGCTTCACATTTCCCTCCAACCTCGTTCCAGACTGGAAGGAGCACTCCAGCAGCACTTCCAGGAATGTCACCAGTACCCAACAAGCAGTCTAAATGGTTTTAAACTGATTAGCAGCTAAAGAACAGACCAAGGACCATGTTTGAGTAAGCCCTCTGTCATTCTTCACTTCAGGTCTCTTTGGATGCTTAAGTTTAAAGAAAACTCTTAGCTGGACAAAGGGGTTTTACAAGCCAGTTTCTGAGAATCCTGTCAGGCCAACGTAGGCTAATCGATGTGAACAGGTCCTGGAAAAGAACTGGATCGAATCTCTCTGATTGTCCACAGAGATGCAGTCAAACCTGAACACCTTCAAGATTCAGTTTAATCACACATCTGCTCAGTGTCCCAGTGGGAGACTCAGAACCTAAGTGCAAAATTAGGGCAAGCGCTAGCACAGCAGTCAGCCAGAGCATCTTGCTGGCAGCGGCACAAACCTGCTCTCCTAGCAAACATACCAGCTATAAATAGGTTTATGAATACAGAACCTGTGCCAAGCTGCTCCTTCTTTCTTTTCTTTTCTTTTTTTTTTTTTTTTTTTTTTTTTTTTTTTGCTAATCTTTAATGCCTCTTGCAAAATTGCCTCCTAAAAGTTTTATCTCCATTAATAGTAATAAACACTTATTATATGCTTCAGCAACATTTGAAAGTTTTGAAGAATAACAACAAATTTGCCGAGGAAAATAGAACAATAATGTCCCATTAAAAAAAGCCAAGTGTATTAAAAGAAAAAGCAAGCTTACCTGAAAAAATTCACATTAGAATTGCATGTGTACCCCCTGCTTGGGAGAGACGAGCTGACTTCTGCCGGGTCTTCAAGAGGGACACAGTGGTGTCTGGGTTTAATCGTGTCCAGCTGTGCTCTGAAGGTACCAGGCCAGCCCCAGACCTGAGCCCTGTGCTGTCACCGTCAGTCTTCTCAACTGGAACAACAGAAAATGATCTTAGCATGCAATGCTTCGGCTTCAAGACCCAATGATGGACATCTGCACTGACTGCTAGAGATTCAGTATAGCCTTATACAAAGGGAAAGCCATTAACACTGCTGCTGTCAATAAGCATGGTTCTCACTTGGCCTTTCCCAAGCAGAGGTGCCCTCTCAACACATCTTGGGAAAATGCAGAGCCCTTGAAAGCTATTTACAAAGCATTCTAGCTCTCCCTTGGAAGGGTCATGTTTCTTGAAGATAATGATAAGTCCACAATAAACTTACTTAGACATCATCTGTGGCAAGAACACTTTATGATAAGAATTTGACTTTGAGCTGTCAATGCTTGGCCGACCAAATAAACCAGTGCTAATTTCAAACAGAGGCATTAAACAAAGACTTAAATTACCTTGTACTTTCATCTACTCTCATTCTCTTGTGTTCCTTTTTTCCCCCTTTTCCCTCCCAAGCCCTACGTAGTTCACCATCCATTTTCAAGGATGGATGCCTAAATGAAGCCCTTTATTAAGTCTCAATTTTTAAAAGCAATGTCACCTTGCAGTTTCTTTTCACTTCAGAAATTAAATTCCAGGAGCATATTCTTGAAAAGCCTACATCTATACTTATTTCAACTTTCTGGGGAATAATTGAGTATGGAAAGTAAGACTTAGCCTGATGAAAATTTTATTTCCATTTAAAAATAAAGGGGAATGCATAGAAAAGAATTTTTTCCCCTGTCTCCCTCCTTTTTTCTCTTCTGAAAGGTGAAGACAAAGGAGACACATTACAGTTCCATTTTTTCTCTATCAAAAATCTCACTCTCCACCATGTGCTTAAGTTTCCAGGCCGCCAAATACTATGCTGTGTTCTTAGCAACTTGGCCTTGTGGGACCGTATGTCCTCCAGTAGACCTTTCCCAATCTAAGTTATCCTGTGATTTTTTTCTGAACTCCTTGTTCCGGCAGTCCAATTCCATCAAAATTTTACATATGAAATCTCTTAAGGAGGTATATTTAATCTTAAATTAGCAGAAGTATCTTCTCAGGTGTCATAAACTCAAAGGCCTTTAACACGTTTAGAGAAAACTAGCACTGTAAGAAAACTAAGAGAACAGATCGTAGGCCCTCACTTGGGCAGTGCTGAGAAAGAGCCTGGGGGAAAAATGGGCCAGTATTTATTTACTGTAGAACTGCCACATTCACAGGAATACATTTTCTATCTGTGATTCTGAAGTCAGGACAGTTTTTAAAGTCATCTCGAGCTCCAGTGTCACCTGGGTTGTGACAACTGTCACAACCATTTACAGCAGAAGGAGTGGGATTGCACACCTCACACCCTTCCCTGCCTACGGTTCCCGAGGAACTGGGGTCGCACAGCCCACAGCTCCTGCACCTCTGCCCGACTCATGGTGACCTTCACAGGCTGAACCACAGAACTGGTCGGCAGGCTTCCTGAGCAGCAAAGAGCTGACTTTTCAAAGAGACCCACAGATGACAACTTGCTCGTGACTTTTTTTCTCCCAAATCCTTAATCATATGTATGCATTTTGAATAATACTTGACCCAAGGCATGTAATACAAAAAGTTCCGTTTCTTTGTGTACCAGCTCTCATCGGAGAGGAATAAAAACATAACCTAAAAGATAGGCTATCCAAGGATTAAAATTCAGGAATTCCAGCCCTAAGACACGATAAAGACAAGACATTAGAATATAATTTTTTCTACCATTAAGATGGAAGAAGCCACAGAGGAAGTTCTCCTCAAGTTCAGCCTAATTTGTGTTGCTCTTCACAGCTTAATACTCATCTTTTCTATCTTTCTCTTTGTTTCCGTTCAGGAATTTCAAATACTTCCCCTCCTAGTCCCAGCACCACACACACTGCCCATCCAACTCCATCACTGCTGCTGAAGCCACCGAGGCAAGAAAGGACAAACACCCGCAACACAGCACTAGGCTGGGACTAACCAGGAGGGAGATGCACATCCTTTCTTCCTTCATTTTTCAAAAATCACAGGCACAATACAGCACATTTGCAGCTTTATTGTAACAACATGATTTCAAAGAAAAAACATCATCACCTGTTTTAAAGTTGAGCCTTTGCCTCAGAGTCTAAAAAGAACTGTTTGAAACAGAGGATTTTTTCTTCAATACCTTCCCTATCGTTTGCTTCGAAGCTCATTATATTAGTGAGAGCAGTTGAGGAGCTAAGTCAAATTTAGGAATCCCGAGGAGAGCTGTACGCGCAGCTGGCATGTAGGTCTGTGGCAAGGATGCAGGTCAAATCACATCAGTAGCACTTCCAAGAACACAGAGTGCCTCAGAGCACATGGGAGAGACACCAGCTCACAGACTGGCCCACAGACAGCAGCAGGGAAGATGCTTTGTTCACTCCTCAGCAAAGGGCACAGACCAGGCTGCTCACACCTTCCAGGCTTACCCAGAAGATCATGAAGAGTACAGCATTATTATTTTTTTGTGTTCAGTGCCATTTTTCAAATAAATTTAAGGGAATAAGCACCATTACACTTATAATCCACAATCACCTGCCAGTGACTACAGCGTGCCCTAAAGCAAGTCTCAGCTATTATTCTGGCTGGCTAGATGAAGGTCACTGACACTGCTAACACCTCTGACATTTTATAATCAATTGCCAGCATTTACAGAGGAGAAAATATCTCTGGCATTGAGCACACTTGGAAAGAAAGAAACTCATTTCAATTAATCTTAAGCTTGCTGTCTCTGATAGCCAAAACATGAAACGACGATGCAACCTAGCCAGCCAAATATTAGTGAGATTGGTTTCTGGCATCCAATGCCATATTCTGTTTGTATATAAACAACTGCAGTTTATCTGCCTCTTTAAAATAACTGCAATATGAATCATCATAAGGATAGCAGCAAAGAAACAGTCAAATACTTGTAATTGGAGAAAATATCATTTAATTCGCAAAGCAACTGACTACAAATACCAGACAAGCTAGCACTGAACACCTACTGAAGCATTCTCATACCTTGTGTGGCCACTCTTGGAAGAAATGCTGACCTTTATGAAGCCCTCTGCTGCTAGAAAAGTCTGATATTGCATATTCATCCAGTGCCTGCTTTCATCTCGAAGACAGGAACAGAGATTCCTGCCCTTTGAACTATCCTTGATTTTTAGTCAGATGTTATATTTCACCCCCTCAGAAGTGAGGACGGAGGACTTAGGAAGAGAGATTTCAAAACAATACTTTGTAAACAGTTCTCAAGTCCCCTTTGATTTATAAGCTGCCAAAATGTTGGATGAATTCAGCAGCTGGGAAGCCCAAGATTTGACAGCTCTACCCTTACTCAGTGGTTCAAAGTGGTTCAAAGGAATCACTTTAAATTAATGCAGAGCCTCAGAGAACATGGAGATCTCCAACTTAAGACCTCTTAAAGACCAGTGTTTCCATTGAAATTCTTGTTTCTCCAGTGCTCCAGCTCCTAATACAAGCCATTACTCAGCTCTTGCTATTCACAGGAGTTAGTTGCCTTATGGGATAATGTTTGTGTCAAATACAATCGCTAAAGGCGCTCCAATTTACACTAATAATTGTCATTAGGAAAAGAAAAAAATGGTTGCAGTTTTTGTCAGAAAAGAACCGTTTCCCAGTGTTTAGCATAGGCTGGATAATGGTCACAGGCAGCATCTTGGCTCAGTGGGAAGCACTGGTAGGTGGTAAATGAGAGTGCTGCAGAGGGGACAGATATTTTTCAAGGGGGGAGAGGGAAGAGTGTCTGCCGAAGGAGGCACCCTGACGGCATGAGATTTATGCATCCACCCTCATGTCAGTCAGGGAGGAGGGAATCATTATGCAGGGCCAGCTGCAGGGGTGTGCGCTGCTGTCTGGAGAAATTAGAAGTCTAGCAATGAAAGATAAAGAAGGGAGAAATGACAGAGTGAATGAAAACCCCATGATAAACCCATTTAGGCTCTCCTCTCCCCAGGATGAAAGATAAAGTGTAATCTTTTTGGCATATATCTTGGCTGAGACTCAAACAAACATGCCTAAATATACACATGTGCACACCCCAGAGATGCACACTGCCACTGCCCACCAAGATGACCACTAAATTCAAAGAGTACTAAGCAGGACTTCTTCTCCTGCATGGTGAGTTACATTCTGGGGAAAGATCCGAGCATGTGAAAACACTTTTGATTCCAGGAAGTCTCATCTGCTGCCGAATGCCTTCTTTGTTTAAATACCTTCGAAGCAATCCTTCCATTTGAATACCTCAGGGGAGTGGAATACCTCAGTGGTAAGGGAGTGGAGAGATGACAGAAACACAAGACGCTGAAAAGCAACGGAGCTCAGGCTTTGTTGTTTGGCTTAGAAGTTTCCAATTTCGTGTGGCATTCCTGTACCGAAGAGAATTTGTGTCCAAGTCAGGCAGTTCTGCATAACTTCTTGTCCTAGTTAAGACAGAGTTTCTTTTTCTCCCTCATCAGTATAGTCAAAGAAACAAAATACTCAGAATATTGTTTCATTATGTTTGTTAATAAAAACAGTGTTGAGTTAGGCTCTCGAGTCCTAGTGTATTGGCTAGCGAAGGAATAGCGAAAGAGTGAACAAGAAAAACAATGGTCGTGAAAGCCCCTTGTTAAAATTCCACCCCTCAGCCTACCAGGGGATGTGTTTGGTAATTTTTCCTTCTGCCTGTCTTGATCATTACCAAAGCCTCAGGGCCTGTGAAATTCTTCCAAGAATGCTAATGCCTTGCGAGAAGCAAAACAGTATGAAAAGGAAACTGTTCAATGAACATCTTCCTGAGGCAGGAGGGAGGGAGGGAGGATGCACTCTGATATCTTATTTTCAAGGTACATACACTGACCAGTGGTGCTAGCCTGATTCTTTACCAGGAACAGGAGAAATAAATTACACCCAGCATGCCAAAACACCGTGACTTATGTCACTGTCTGTCCTTCAGTATAAGATCCATGAACAGTTTTATAAGAATGTTTTGTTCATGTAC